CTGCATAGACACTCCAACCACAGTCTGGTCTTTCTCTTGCCCCGTTTTACTGCTCTCCGAAAATCCTGCCTCTCCCACTGTGCCTTATTGACAAAGGACTGTCTGTCTGGTGTCTGCACGCCTCTGCTCTACCCCTAGGACTTGACTTTGTGCCTTGAAGCAAAAATAGCCTGCAGCTTTTAAGAGGAATAGTCACCTTCTATTGCCCATGAGGATAGGTGGAAAGGTGATGAGCGATAGCCACATTCTGGGCTAGACACCACTGGTAATGTAGGGTTTACAGAGGAGGTGCTGGGGCTCCCACTTGTTCAAATCCACCAGAGATTCCTAATGAACTGGACTCCAGTCGTTTTTTTGTTTGTTTGTTTGTTTGTTTGTTTTGTTTTTTCCAAGACAGGGTTTCTGTGTGTAGCTTTATAGTCTGTCCTGAAACTTGCACTATAGACCAGGCTGGCCTTGAACTCACAGAGATCAACCTGCTTCTGCCTCCTGAGTGCTGGGATCAAAGGCATGTGCCTCCACTGCCTGGCCTGGACTCCATTCTTTATGATGCTCCACTTGCTGGCAGGATCTTCTGCCCTCCATACCGGATCTTCTGCCCTCCATACCCCTCAAAGTAATGTGCATGCTTATCGTCAAGAAAACCAGAAGGCTAAAAAATATGAGTTGGAAATCACCACAAGATGCTCAGCTCCATTCCCTAGACCCACATTGTAGGCAGTCCTGCGGGTCCCCTCCAAACATTTCCTGAAGACATGAAATTGGTGTGTTTGCTTTACAAATGTTCTCTGTATATGGCGTCCTTTCCTCTTAAAGATACATCTCACCAATCTTTCCATATAGTCACATGCTTCAGCCTCATGTCCCCTGTAACCCATTCCCTTTCCTGCCGATCCTCCCACTCTGTCTAGGGAAGATGCTGGCTGACTATATCTATTATTATCAGGACTCTTGGTTGCTGGGAGGCAAGAGAAACAACTAAGTTGTGAAGGTTAGTCCCATTGTCAACCTGAGAACCACCATGGAAACAAACTCCGGGGAATGGCTGTGGAGTTTCTAGACGAGGTAAGTTGAGGTAGGCAGACCCATCCTGGTATGGATGGTACCATCCCATGGGCTGGGGTCCTGGACTGAGTGAAAAGGAAACGGCAAGCCGAGCGCAGCATTCATCGCTCTCTGTTTCCTGATTGGCTTGAGCCTCTGCCCCGATGACTTCCCTACCATGATGGAGTGTACCATAGAATGGTGAGCCAAAACTAAACCGTTCATCCCCACCTCAAGCTGCTTTTATTAGATATTTTACCTCAGCACTGTGCAAAGTAACCAATACACAAATCAAGGTTCTTTTAAGGGAGTTGTTGACTATGCAGGGTCCTACAACGTTGATGGAGCTCAAGGAAGAGGTTGGATGAGCTTCAGAGGCAACACCATGAACATCGGGACTCTCCAGCCCCGCATTTAGCGAGCCTGCTTCACACTGACACCTTCTCAGACTTGGTTCTTTGACTTTTCTAGTCTGGAAATGTGGAAAACCTGCCCTCCAACAGCTCCAGTGTTTATACATTGCAGACTCAGCCACCCTGAGGGAACCTGGACTCCATCCTAGTTCTGATATTCTCAGGAAAGGGCACTATATCACCTCAGTGTTGCATAATTTTGCCATGTCCATCACAAACACGTCAGGTAGGAGCACTGTGAGGTGGGACCAGGTGGACAAGTGTTTGTATACCTTCCTTAGTCACCCAGCTGAGCCAGACAGCTCTGCTCCGTGATCTAATAAATGATCCGTGTTCATACGAAACCTATCACAGTGAGTTCCAACTGTGCATGTACGTCTCTGTAGTCTTAGCTACAGAATGGTCTTCACAAAGATAGTATAGCATGCAGTTGGTGCTCAATGAGGTTCTGTAGAATGAATGGGCCCCACTCACTAGGACTTTTCTCACCTACAGCGCATGTTCTAGGGAACCCAGAGCTAGTCCTATACACAGCACCTTTACTCCCTTTTTTACACAGGCCCATGAGTTCATTTTATTTTGGTTATACTAAAAACAATTCAGACCCTTTTTGGCAGGAGCTCATTAAATGTTTCCCAAACCCACTGCTTTAAAACAACTGATAAGCTAGTTTTTCCAACCCTCTTGCCTCTGGATGTAGTCCCATGGCTATAGAACGTGAGTAGGAAAGGTGTTCAGCACTAGCTAAGAAAGCAAAGGACAGGGAAGCCTTCTCCATATTCTTTTCCCTTTCCTGACTACCAGGATCTGGCAAAAGCAGCAAGAGATCTGGTTATAGTTGCAAGAGATCTAGCAAGAGCTGCAAGAGGTGAGGGACCAGAGAGACAGATGAAGTAACTGAATCATTGGAAATCACAGGGCATCCTTGCCTGGGGCTGGGACCATGACCCTAAGTCTGGGATTGTCACAATAGCCTATCCTGTTCGGTATACACCCCCACACAGCCTGCTTTCTGTCACTGTCACTGGGTTTTAGATTTCATTTCTTTACTGCTGTAGAACTCTGCATATCTATATCCTCTTGACTTTGGCTCCCTTTTGACGACACCAGAGGCCTGTAGACATACTCTTAGAGTAATAAACTAGTGTTTGGCTAAGGAGTTCTGCAGAGTGCTGTCGGCTTTGTGCCCAATCTTTATGCTGGTACTTTTGCTTCAGCTGATACCATCTAAGCCCCCAGGTAAAGTGTTCAGCAGATTACTGCTAAGACTTTATTGCTGAATGGCGAGCGGAGATGGCCTCTCTGAGAATTGCATCCAATATTACTTGGGGCTAACATATCTTTATTTTTTTCACCCCTGAAGTCTGTGCTTTCACTCAAGGCCTGTGCTAGCTAATTTTTAGCTAGGTAGGGTCATCTGGGAAGAAGGAATTTTTTTTCTCCTATTGATAATAGATACTTTTCTATACAGTATATGATTTATAGTTTCTCCTCCCCCTACTCCTTCTAGTTCCTCCCCACCTCCCTTCTCATCTAGGTCCACACCCCTTCTGTCTCTCAGTAGAAAACAAATAGGCATCCAAGGAATAATAATAATAAAATAAGATAAATAAAAAAGGAACATATCAAAATATGAGAAAACAACCAAACAAGAAAAAGAGACAAAGAAAATGCACAAGAAATGCATATAGATACAGAGACACACATGGTCATACTCTCAGGAACCCCATAAAAACCCAAAACCAGAAGCCATGCTATATACAAAAAGGTCCTGTAAAATAGAAAAGAAAAAAAATGCCCTGCTTTAGCATTATGAGACAAAGAACATCCGAAGATGTTATTGAGTTTGTTTTCTCTTGGCCAACTACTTCTAGGCATAGGGCCTGCCCTTAAGAGTGTTTTGTTCGCCCAGTGAGACTCCCTTGGAGAAAACTTATTTTTCGTTTGCAAGTGGCTATCGATTGGAAATAGCTTCTTGGTTAGGGATGAGGGTGAGTGTTCACCTCTCCTTTCTTGAACCCCATCTGGTGCAGACTCTTGCAGGTCCTGTGCATGTTGCCACAGTCTCTCTGAGTTCATGTGTGCCAGCCCTGTTGTGCCTAAAAGGCCTTGATTCCTTGGTATCCTCCATCCCTCTGGCTCTTATACTCTTCTGCCTCCTCTTCCTGCAGAGTTCCCTGAGCCCTGAGGGGAGAGATTTGAAGGAGACATCCCTTTTAGGGATGAGTGTTCCAAGGTCTCTTACCCTCTGTATATTGTCCTGCTGTGGGTCTGTGTATTTGTTCCCATCTGCTGCAGGAAGAATCTTCTCTGATGATGGCTGAGTCATAGATCTAGGGAATATAGCATAATGTTATTAGGAGTTATTTCATTGCTACATTTCTTTAGCAGAGGAGTAGTATTTGATTTTCCAGTAGGTCCCTGGGCTATCTAGTCTCAGGTTCTTGGCCACCCAAGATGTATTGGGTATGGGTTCCATTTCATGGCGTGGGCAATTCGTTGGTTACACCCATAAGCTTTGTACCACTGTTGCAGCAGTGAACCTTGCAGGCAGGTCATTCTTGTAGATCAAAGAATTTTTAGCTGGGTTGCTGTTTGTTTCTCCTTGGCAGCATGCAAAATACCTTCCAGCACCATGAACAGTAGTCCATAGGGCTGAGAGTTTATCTGAGTTGTTTTGGGGGGTTTCCACGGGGCTTCTTTGCCCAACAACTCAGTTTGATGTAACCCATCCCCAGCACTGGATGCTTCATTTAATGAGAGATGTCCAGTTGGGGTTGTGTCTCCCCCCATTATTTGTTGATTTCATGTAGATAATATCCATATATGTATATTATGGGATGCTTCTACCATATGAGGTTTCCACATGGCCCCTCAAATGACCCTCAGTTTTGACTGTCCCTCCCCGTATTCCCCCCCTAACCCCCTCTTCTCTCCCATTCCCTGTTTGATCCTCCCACTCCAGTCCCCCATCTCATACATCCATAACTGTGTATTCTATTTGCCCTTCCTAGAAAGACTCATTCCTCCCCCAGTCCTTTACTCTACCTAACCTCTATGCTATATGGATTAGAGCTTGCTTATCACTGACTTAACAGCTAACATCCACATATAAGAGAATATATACCATATTTATTTTTTTGGATCTGAGTTATCCCACCCAGGATGATTTTTTTCTAGTTCCATCCATTTGCCTGCAAATTTCATGATTTAATTTATTTTTTAATGCTGAGAAATATCCCATTGTATAAATGTATCACATTTTCTTTATCCATTCATCCATTGACAGACAGCTAGGGTTTTTTCCAGTTGGAAGAAGGAATCTTAATTGAGAAGATGCCTCCACAGGATTGGAGTCTGTGGGTATTTTTTCTTTTTAATTTAATTTTCTTTTTAAAACTTCTCTTTTTTATGGAATTTTTAAAAAAGATTTCTCTCTCTCTCTCTCTCTCTCTCTCTCTCTCTCACACACACACACACACACACACACACACACACACACACACACACACACACTTATTATGTATATGGTGCTGTGTCTACGTGGCCAGAAGAGGGCACCAGATTTCTTATAGATGGTTGTGAGCCACCATGTGATTGCTGGGAATTGAACTCAGAATCTTTGGAAGAACCGCCATGTTCTTAACCTCCGAGGCATTTCTTCATACAATATATTTTGATCACATTCTTCCCCCTCCTCCAGCTCCCCCCAGATCAACCCATCCCACTTCCCTACCACCCAACTTCATATTCTCTCTCTTTCCCTCTCTCCTTTTCTCACTCTCTCCACAACAGAAACTCCAAAACCAAAGCAAACAAACAGAAACCAGTAAGACAAAACAAATAACAAAACAACAACAAAAAATAAACAAACAAAACCAAGAAGTACGGGAAAAACATGGAGGATGTTTTGTGTTGGCCAACTAACTACTCTCGGGCATGGGGCCTTCTCTGAAGTATGGTTGATATACCCAGTGACACTTCACTGGAGAAAACTGATTCTCCCTTTCCCAGCAGGTATCAATTGCAAATAGATTCTTGGTTAGGGTGGGACCTTGTGTTAACTTCCCCTTCTCCATGCTTGAATTTTGTCTGGCTTGAATCTGTGCAGGTCTTGTGCGTGCTGTCTCTGAGTAGAGCGTTTTCTTTTCTTTTTTCATTTTTAAAAGATTTATTTATTTATTTTATATGCATGAGTGCTCTATCTGCGCGTACAACTTTGTGCCAGAAGAAGGCATCAGATCCCACTATAGATGGTTGTGAGCTACCCTGTGGTTGCTGGGAATTGAACTCAGGACCTCTGGAGGAGCAGCCAGTGCTCTTAACCACTGAGCCATCTCTCCAGCCCCTTAGGGAATTCTCTTGTTTGATGATTGATGTGGGAGAGCCCAGGCTATTGTGAGGAGATGATCCTGGAATGTATAAGAAAACAAACTGAGGAGGCTGGGATGAGCAAGCCAGTAAGCAACACCCCTCCATGACCTCTGCATGAGCCCCTGGCTTCAGTTTCCTGCCTTGTTTGAGTTCCTGCCCCGACTTCCCTCCATGATGTGAGTTTGACCTGAGACTCGGAAGCTGAAATGAATCTTTTCCTCTTCAAGGTGATTTTCATCAACGGTGTTTTATCACAGAAATAGAAACCCTAACTCAGACAATGCCTGTGAGAGTCTCTGCAGTTAGGATCCAACTTCAAACCTGCCCTTTCCTCCCTTCTGTTCCTCTCCCATTCATTCTCTTTTCCTTCCTTCTTTCTACTGATCTTTAAGGAGCCTCGACTGAACTCTAAGGTCTTCAACAAGAACTAAGGATTTATATTCATCACTGAGTCCCAGCACTCATCTGGGCATGTGGCACATGATGGATACATAATTATCTAGGTTGAATGGCACTGGATGCGAGCCCAGAACCACAGTAGGTGCTGAGGGGGCAGAAATGAGAGAAAAAGCAAACTGTCTGAAATCATCTAATTTACAAACTGTAATGATTCTCCAGGAAGCGGTTGTGCTAATCAAAAGCATAGATGATATTTATTAGATGCTAGCCATAGGCCTGGTTTGAATTGAGCCTAATTTTTTTTTAATGTGTTTATGTGTACATGGGTAGGCAAGCCAGAGCTGACGTCAGGTGTCTCTCTCTGTTGCTCTGCACCTTATTTTTGGGTTCTCTTCCTGAACCTGGAGCTCACTTAATCGGCATGACTAGCTGGCTGGGGAGCTCAGAGGATCCCCCTGTCTCCACCTCCCTGGTACTCGGATTACAGGCATGCAACACCAGCCCAGCTTTTACTTGAGTGGCGAACATCTGAACTCAGATCCTCAAGTTCTCACAGCAAACACTTTGCAAACAGACTCCTCTCCCAAGCCCCAAGCTTGACCACTCTTGAGAGTGAGTAGGAGGGAACACAGCACCGGAGTCCTCACTGTAGCAGGTCCGACCTCTGCAGAGAGTCCGAAACTTCACATGGGTAGCTGCCATGACTACAGGGCAGCCTACAAGTCCGGGGAAGCATTGTGTCCATAGCAATTAAGAGAGGGCCCAGCCAGTTTATACAAAAAAGCAAAACCATGAAACCAGTCCTTCCATGTTTTTTTTTTCTTTCCTGAAACCTCTGACCAATTCAGTGAAAGCCAGACATTTCTGACTTGACCTTGAGAATCTAGAACTGTTCTCTCCACCTTGAGGGACTTACAGAACAGCCATGTATCAACCAACAGGCTGATACGTGAGTTTAAATGAAATCTTCAATAGTCTGTCTAGAGCAAGGAACATTTTGAGATGGCCTAAAACAAAACAAAACCGACCTTTCTGTCCAAGAAAATGATCAACTGTGCCTGATGGAGTACTTCCCTTCTTGGCCTTGAATGAGTGAGGCTGTGTCTGTGATGGGAAGCAGGGGAACATGTAGTCTCCAAATTCCTTCAGAAATGCTGCCCCAACTGTTACTGATACTTCTAGACATGAGCTTGGGGAAAAATGGCCTGTGGACACTTTCCCCTGTGTGTGGCTTGAGTCTTCTTTATCCCTGAGCCTCGCCTTACATCTTTACTCACGTAGCCAAGACTGCCATTCTTCCTCCATCAACTCTTCCCAGCTTTTTCACTTTTTGCACAGTGTTATGCTGTTTTCCTGGCTGCTGCATTCTCAGAAGCACTGGGCAAAAGACTCCTGCTAGTGTCTACTAATGGAGCGAACAGAAGTGAAAAGGTGCTCCGGTCTGTCTATCTATCTATCTATCTATCTATCTATCTATCTATCTATCTATCTATCTAT